GACATCCCCGCAAAACCGGCCCCGGGGGAGGTGCCCACAGGAGCCCAGAGCGGCCTCCGGCACCGTTTCCGGACGGATCCGGACGGATCCGCTGGATCCGGGGACGAATCCCAAACCGGCGCCCTCGCTTGAGACATCCTCACAAAACCGGCCCCGGGGGAGGTGCCCAGAGGAGCCCAGAGCGGCCTCCGGCACCGTTTCCGGACAGATCCGGACAGATCCGGTGGATCCGCGCCCCGGGGGAGGTGCCCAGAGGAGGAATGAGGAGGAGGAGGAGGAGGAGGAGGAGGAGGAGGAGGAGGAGGAGGAGGAGGAGAAGATGATGGAGCTGCGGGGTGGAGGAGGACAGACGGAGGCAAGAGAAGGATGGAGGAGGAGGAGGAGGAGGAGGAGGAGGAGGAGGAGGAGGAGGAGGAACCTCATCCTCACCCTCGCCAACAAGCGCACGCACCTTCTTCTATATACAGAAACTCCCGATCAACCGCAGAGCGGCCGGCTAGTAATCATCTTCATCGTAGTTAGTTGCCGTTCCCCTCTTCAACATCACCACCCATCATCATAGTGTTCACCATCATCAGCATTACCATCATTGTCGTCGCCGCCAGTGCCGCCGTCATCATCATCACTAGCCCGTCAGAGTCACCGATTTGCATGGGCACGGTCCGCGCGTCATTGCGACTGTTCTAATGCATGGGCAAGATCTTGCGGGTAACTGCATTCACGGCCTCTTGAGTGTTGCCAGCAAGTGGCGTGTGGGTGAGAGGGATGGTTGTTCGAACATGGGTGTCGGCCATGTGCGGATTTCCATTGAATCGCATCGATTGCACCACCTCGAATGCACTTTGAGAATCAACGGATCAGTCGTCTGGGGCCCCACTCTGGCACACGCTCTTTCGGCGATGTAGAGGTTCTAGCAGGGGCACTGACTGTTGAGATTGCTGTACCGAATGAGAGAGGTCAGGCCCTCTTGCTCTCACCCGGTCGCTCGACAGACGGCGCCAGCGCCAGCGCCAGACCTCGAACTCGCTGCGTGCTCCGCCTCGGCCTGACCATGCGGGCCCACACCCATTTTCTTGGCGATCCGCGTGTCATCGCAGGCCCTGAAGAAGGAACCCTTTTTGTTGGGGAGGGGCTCCGTGTTCCTTAGTTGCTTTACAGTGCTCCCTGGGTTTTCCTGAGGTTTTCTACGGAAAACCGGAGTTCACTATATGGGAAAAAGGAGCTCGTTCCTTATTTATGAAAGTGCGCCAGTGGATCCCCATGAATACACTAAAAGGGAGGGGGGGGGGTCCAGACCCCCCCCCCCCCCCCTCCCTTATTCAAGGGGGGGGGGGGTCCGGACCGCATGTGGGCCCAATCCCAACCCACTGGGCCCAATCCCAACCAACTGGGACCAATCCCAACCAGTGCGAAAAGCAAACTGGGCCCAATCCCAACCATCTTGGGATAGCCCCACAATAGGATTTTAATTGTAGAGAAGCCCAAGACGACTGCGAAGACCAAGTGACACCCCTTATGTCAACGCAGAGGATCTGGAAGCCAACATGCGTGCTCGAGTTGGAATTGGTCTCAGTTTTTGGTCTGCGCACGAGCACTACGTTAAGATGAGCAAGAGGGCACCGAAGCGTAAGCAAAAACGCACCGAATTGCATCGATTCAAAATATGCAAATGGATCCTCCTAGTAGTAGTAGTAGTAGTAGTAGTAGTAGTAGTAGTAGTAGTAGTAGTAGTAGTAGTAGTAGTAGTAGTAGTAGTAGTAGTAGTAGTAGTAGTAGTAGTGGTAGTGGTAGTGGTAGTGGTAGTGGTAGTGTTAGTGTAGTAGTAGTAGTAGTAGTAGTAGTAGTAGTAGTAGTAGTAGTAGTAGTAGGTAGTAGTAGTAGTAGTAGTAGTAGTAGTAGTAGTAGTAGTAGTAGTAGTAGTAGTAGTAGTAGTAGTAGTAGTAGTAGTAGTAGTAGTAGTAGTAGTAGTAGTAGTAGTAGTAGCGTAGTAGTATCGTAGCAGTAGTAGTAGTAGTAGTAGTAGTAGTAGTAGTAGTAGTAGTAGTAGTAGTAGTAGTAGTAGTAGTAGTAGTAGTAGTAGTAGTAGTAGTAGTAGTAGTAGTAGTAGTAGTAGTAGTAGTAGTAGTAGTAGGAGCAGTAGCCGTATTAGTAGTAGTACTAGTAGTAGTAGGAGTAGTAGTAGTAGTAGTAGGCCACGGCGGCGAGCGGTTGGCCCCGCGGTCAGCTGCAAGGCATCCAGAGAACAGATGAGGGCAAGCCTGCCGTGGGATACTAAGGAATTCCGAAAGCAAGTCGAAAGGAATCCGGAGGAATTCCGAAAGCATCCCAAGGAATTCCAAAAGCATCCTAAGGAATTCCAAAAGCATCCTAAGGAATTCCGAAGGACTCGCAAGGAATTCCAAAGGAATCCCAAGAAATTACGAAGGAGTCCTCAAGAATCCGGAGGAATTCCGATGGAATCGCAAGGAATTCCGAAAGCATCCTTAGGAATTCCGAAGGAATCGCAAGGAATTCCGAAGGAATCCAAAGAAATTACGAAGGAGCCCTCAAGAATCCAGAGGAATTCCGAAGAATTCGAAGGGATCCGGAGGAATTCCGAAGATCCCATCTGTGGTTGGAATTGGTATCATTTTTGGTTGGGTTGGAATTGGTCTCGTTTGTGGTTGGAACTGGTTTCTTTTCTGGCTGCAATTCGCTCCGAACGGTTGGGATTTGGACGAGTCGGTTGTAATTCGTTCCATTTCGGGTCCGGACCCCCCCCACCCCCTCCCCCCCTTAAGGGGGGGAGGGGAGCCCGAACCCGCCCCCCCTCCCTCCCTTGAAGGGGGGGGGGGTCCGGACCCCCCCCCCACCCCTCCCCCCCTTGGCGCTGGAAAGGGGGGGGGGTCGGACCCCCCTCCCCCTCGTGTAAAGAGTACGGAGTTGGGAGTAGGGAGTGGTGAGTAGAGTAGTGAGTAGCGAGTTAGTGCGTAGTGAGTAGTGAGTATTGGGTAGTGAGTAGTAGTGAGTAGTGAGTATGAGTAGTGGGTAGTGAGTGGCGAGTTGGGAGTAGGGAGTAGGGAGTGGGGAGTAGTGAGTATTGAATTGTGAGTAATTAGTGTGAACTGATAAGTGAGTAGTGAGTGGCGAGTAGTCAGTTGTGAGTAGTGAGTAGCGAGTAGCGAGTAGTGAGTACTGAGTAGGGAGTAGGGAGTAATGAGTACTTGGTAGTGAGTAGTGGGTAGTGAGTAATGGGTGGCGAGTCGTGCTTAGTGAGTAGTGAGTTGTGGGTGGTGCGTAGTGCGTAGTGAGTAGTGAGTAGTGAGTAGTGAGTAGTGAGGAGTGAGTAGTGAGTAGCGAGTAGTGAGTAGTGAATAGTGAGTACTGAGTAGTGAGTACTGAGTAGTACGTAGTGCGTAGTGAGTAGTGAGTAGTGAGTAGTGATGAATAGTGAATAGAAAGTAGTGGGTGGTGGCAGTGGGTAGTGAGTAGTGCGTAGCGAGTAGTGAGTAGTGAGTAGTGAGTAGAGTGTAGTCAGTAGTGAGTAGTGGGTAGTGATTAGTGAGTAACGAGTTGGGAGTAGCGAGTAGTGAGTACTGAGTAGGGAGTGCTGAGTAGGGAGTAGGGAGTAGTGAGCAGCGAGTAGTAAGGACTGGGTAGCCAAGAGTGGGTAGTGAGTAGCGATTGGTGAGCAGTGGGTAGTGAGTAGTGACTAGTGACTGCTGACTAGTGAGTTGTGACTAGTGACTAGAGACTATGTATTGACTAGTGAGTAGGGAGTAGTAAGTAGTGAGTAGCGAATAGTGAGTAGCGGGGAGTCCGTAGTGAGTATTGAGTAGCGAGTATGGGAGTAGCGAGTAGCGAGTACTGAGTATTGTGGAGTCAGTATTGTGTAGGGCGTAGGGAGTAGCGAGTAGCGAGTAGTGGGTAGTGAGTAGTGATTTGTGGGCAATGAGCAGCTCGTAGTCAGTAGTGAGTGGTGGATAGTGGGTAGTGGGTAATGAGTAGTAATTAATGTCTAGTAAATAGGGAGTAGTGAGTAGTGCTTAGTAAGTAGTGAGGAGTGAGTAGTGAGTAGGGAGGAGGGAGTAGTGAGTAGGGAGTAGTGAGTGGCGAATAGTGGGTAGTGAGTAGTGATTTGTGGGCAATGAGTAGTTAGTAGTGAGTAGTGAGTAGTGGATAGTGGGTAGTGGGTAATGAGTAGTGATTATTGAGGAGTGAATAGGGAGTAGTGAGTAGTGCTTAGTGAGTAGTGAGTATTGAGTAGTGGGTAGCGCGGAGTGAGTAGTGAGTAGGGAGGAGGGAGTAGTGAGTAGGGAGTACTGAGTAGCGAGTAGTGGGTGGTGGGTAGTGTAGTAGTGAATAGTGACTAGTGAGTCGTGAGTAGCGAATAGCGAGTAGTGAGTAGGGGGTAGTGAGTAGGGGGCTGGGGTTAGTGGTTAGGGGGTAGGGGGCCCCTCGTGACTCCCTTTGGGGCTGGGGTTAGTGGTTAGGGTTCGGATTCGGGGTTTGGGTTCGGGTGAGGACTAGGGGTAGGGGTGGCGGGGGTCGGGTTCCGGCGTCAGGGGGCGGCGTGGCGAAAGGGGGGGAGGGGGGGGGGTTCGGACCCCCCCCCCCTTTTGAAAGGGGGGGAGGGGGGGGGGGGTTCCCGACGACGGGTCGTGGAAAAAGGGGAGGGGGGGGGGGTTCCCCGACTTCGGATCGGGGAAGGGGGGGAAGGGGGGGGGGTTGCCCGACGACGGATCGGGGAAGGGGGGGGGGGTCCTAACCCCCCCTCCCCCCCCCCCCTTGGGGAGATCCAGCGGCGCACCCTCCTTATTTATCGTTCCTTAGGTCAACGCCCCGACTGTACCATCGCGGGCCCGTCCGTCCATAGCCACTGTAGTTCGTGCTGTGTTGGCCCAAGGTCGACCTAGTTCATTGATGTGTTGTTTGACGCCGCTATGCCGTCCTCTCAGGCGGGGTTGATCACATTAGTTTAGAGGAGTGTTGGTGGTGCGAATTTGATTTCTAAACGCACCATGTCTAGCTTTGACGCCTGTGCCGATGAGGTGTGGTTCGACAGGTACACTCGCCACCATGACAAGGCTTCCACATATAGTCCAGGCATACAGCGAAACATGGCACAGGTGCTTCCTATGGGCTTCGGGATGCACTTCCCCAGTGCCTCAGACAGCGCGCATGCGTCGCACAATGAGAGCATCGAGGTCGTGCAGTTCAAGACCGTTGAGGCAGGCTCTGGGGGGCTTGAAGGCGTACTCGGACTTGCTGGACTGGGCCACCACACTATACGTGCCCGATCTCACTTGTCACGTGAAGCAATTTCAACCACATGATACCCCAATGATGCAACGAAGCTACGAAGCACATCGCGGCTAGTTGATGCGCGTCACTGTCTACACTCTTGGATCTGGACATGCCGTTGAATTGCAGATGGAGGCTTGCATCGCTTGTGACGGTCGAGCCGCCTTCACAGTAGATGAGTGCGCATTCGTTCGTCGTTTTCCTCGCCGGGCCAGGTGCTGCAGAGAAGCATCGCCGAATGCCTCCAGCGCCAGAGGCATGTGTAATCAGTTTGGCAGCTGCTTGCCGCCGAACAAGGCAGTTGGTCATGATCAAGGTGTTGCGTTGCTCATGGCACCGATTATCGTGCAGACACGCCAGGCTGTCACTGACATTGCTCCCGTGCCGCGCTTCTTGAGCACGCTACCCCACACGGATCTCATAGTTGAAGGGTGATGTAGCAGGGAGTCGGCGATCCTTGGAGCCGCTCCTTTCGACGAGAAGTATCGTGGAGCTTGATGGTCCGAGTACCCCCGTCACTTCGCGCATGTGCTCAACGTTGCGAAGCAGGACTGTTTTCGTCCATTTGCGGATTCCTTGGGGCGGTTGCACAGCGCGTGTCGGTTTTGGTTGGGGTTGGAACCGTGGCATGGACTATCATGCTAAATTCACAGGTAGTGGTTCCATGAACGTAGAGACGAGTGTCGGCGTCCCATTGGGCCACGTGGTTGCCACCCTGACTGCACACGGAGCGCGGTCCAGTACGTTCAACCTCCCTTGTCATATCCCGCAGTCAGTCGCAGGAGCTGAAGACCCGCGAAGATTCGGTAGTACTTCGATGCTCTACACGGCTGGCCCAGGCCGCCTCGACATCGAGTTGTGGGGTTTCTACGGCTACAGGTTTCTTCTCTGCGGATCAGCCCCACTCTTGCTGGGGGTGGCGTTTCTGGTTCACCAACTGGCGATTGCCGCCCGTACGTGTCCCCTCCAGAGTTTTCACAACGATCGTTGTTGCAATGGTTCGAGTTCGAGCTTCAGCTAATCCTCCCACGAACGATGCTTAAGCCACTTTGGGGCGCCCTGCTGCACACTTCATTGAATAGGTGAACTTCCCTCGATTTGGTACGCCTGCGGGCGGTTACGAAGTAGCGAGCTTTGTAGCAACAGCCTCGGATGTAACTATACAATGTCTAGTAGAAACGCTCTGAGTCCCAACCTCCACCGCATTGTTTGGCGAACCATGCATGAGCCGTGATGGTTGGTGGGCTGTAGTTGAAGCACGACGCTCACGAGCCAATGCAGTGTTTGGCGACGCTCTTGCGTGAGAACTTGAGGGCCTCTTGCTGACAGTCGCAAGTATGGCATCCTTTCTTGCGATTTCCATTTCGATCACGTCGCGTGTGAACGAACGTTGACACTGACACACCTGGGAGCCTCTTTGGGTGGCCTCTTGGGACTCTAGTGGGTCGTCCCTGCGGCCTTTTGAAAGCAGTTGGGGCTTGTTTGGGGGCATTGGAGGCCATCCACCTGACAAGAGGTTACTTGATTGGAGGGGGGGGCAACTAGGGCCCGAGGAATTGCCTGTTAGGGCCCTGGGTGGGCTCTCTTGGGGTGCTTTCGGGAGCGCTAAGAGCCAAGAGGCGTTATCGGGATAGCTTTGGGCCATCCCGATGTATCAGATACCAATCAGGAGCGAAAGTTGAGAAGTCAACTTGCGTATCGGGGGCAGGCTTGGGAAGCGTCGTGGCTACCTCGGGCCGTCTTGGGGCCTCTTGGAAAGGTTGTCATGTTGGGTCAACTTGGGCCAGCTTGCTCAATATTCTATGTTATTGGGGACTTTCAGTGGCCATCCCGGGGCCGTCAAGGGCTATGTTGGGGAAACTGCGGCCCACACCCCTTGGGAAGGACTTCCCCTAATGTAGCGGGGCAGGTGGGATGGGTAGGCCCCGTTTTGAAGGAGAAGGAGGGTCTGGGAGGAGCTGGCACCCTAAATCACCCACGCCCAGAGAGCTGGTAGGATTCCGGGGCCCAGGGGGAGCTTGGCCAGGTATTGTGCTGGAGAATAGAACGCATCGCTAAGCTCTCAGCGTTTTCTGGGACTGTTGAATCAGGAGTGCGCCGCTTTCGCGTGCGTTGGCTTGTTGATCGTGCTTGGTACTCCCAACGACCAGTCGAGTCGAGAAACGACGGTGGCCGCAGGCTTCAACCGTGCGAAATGTTCCCGCGGTTGGGTACCCGTGCGGCACGGCACGATCTTCCGATGTCCCCTGCGGTTCATGACTCCTTTGGCCCCTTGAGGCCGACGCAGGCCGTCTTCCACTGGCAGAAGGGCGGGAGAAGCAAGTGCGAAGGCTACGGGACGGGCAGGGGATCGAGGACGGGGGATCGAGGATATGGTTCGAGGGCCGAGAACCGCGGAGGGCCGAGGATCGAGGAGGTTCCAGGATCGAGGAGGATCAGGAAGGCTGGCAGGAGGAGGGTCGGAGGTCGAGGCGGTCTGGGGATCGAGGGTGGGGCCCTCGAACGATTCTGGGGGGACTGGCATCCTCGGCGCTTGCCTGCGATGTCGCTTTGCCTGGGGCCTCCCGAGCAGGGCGCGCTGGACACCAAGCCCATCAGGGATGCGGCGCTGCTGGAGACCTGCGCCCCGCCAGAGGGAGGCTCTTCCTCCCCCATCGCTTCCTGCTCCTCCTGCTCCATTCCTTTTCCTTATCGATAACTTCTCCCGGTCGCACCCCGATGCCAGTTTTTAGGGCGGGCCGGGCGTTTCGCTTGAGACTTCTTCACCATTTATGATTTTCTGAAGGTTAAGAAGTGGCAACAGCTTCACAGATGGAGAGCGGATGGTTTTCAAAATGTGGCTCTCGCATGAGCGCCGCGCACATTCGTTTTCAACATTTGCAGGAGCTTCACGGATTGAGGGCGGGTGGTTTTCAAAATGTGGCTCTCGCCTTATCGCCGCGCACAATCGCTGTAATTTGTTGCAAGAATTTCAGTGTTTGAGGGCGGGCGGATTTCGAAATGTGGTTCTCGCTTTAGCGCCGCGCGCATTCAATAAACACAGTGCAAGAGCTTCACGGATTGAGGGCGGGCGGTTTTCAAATGTGGTTCTCGCCTTAGCGCCGCGCACACTCGTGTCAAACAATTGCAAGAGTTTCACGGATTCAGGGCGGGTGGTTTTCAAGATGTGGCTCTCGCTTTAGCGCCGCGCACATTCGTCGTAAATGTTGCCAGAGCTTCACGAATAGAGGGCGGTTTCAATCCAACGTGTGGTTCTTGTCTTAAGCGCCGCGACATTTGTTTTATTTGAGAAGAAAGCAATCAACGTACCAGAAGTGGCGTGTGGGAGGGATTCAGGATTATGCGGGTGCAACAGTTATCTTGATTCGCGGTATTGAAGTCCCCACAATAGTGCTTTGGCCTGGTTCCATATCGTCAAGACGCAGCAGTCAGGTTGATACGTGGCGTTGAATTCCGAGAACAATGTTGTGGCATGCGTCAGGATCTTCAAACTGTTGTCTTCCAGCGAGGCAGTTCCTTCAATGGGAAAGAACCGTTGTAGGGGCCTATGAAGAGGGAACTTGGAGGGAGGGTCAATTCCAACATCGTTGATGACTCCTGGGCTTACACTAGTCCGCATCCCCATACCCATCCTCATCCTCATTATCCTGCTCCTTCTGCTCCTCCTGCTGCTCCTCCTCCTTCTCCTTCTCATTCTCCAACGCCCGCCTCATCATCCTCCTCCTCCGCCTCCTCCTCCTCCGCCACCTCCTCATCCTCCGCCTCCTCCTTCTCCACCTACTCTTCCCCCCATACGCCTCCTCCCCACCCCTTCCCCTCTCCTAGTCCTGCCTTCGCCTCGCCAGACGGATGCGTGCAGCACCGCCCCATCGGCTCTTCCTCCGCCTGATGCCTGGGCGCGGGCCCTCTGGGGCCCTCATGCCTGGCGCGGGCCCTCTTGGGCCCTTGCGGTGCCGTTGCCTCTCTCTCTCTCTCTCCTCCCGGAGGGGGAGGATGGGAGGAGAAGGAGGAGGAGGAGGAGGAGGAGGAGGAGGAGGAGGAGGAGGAGGAGGAGGAGGAGGAGGTACCCAGACCGCTAACTTTCCCTCGTGTTCGCCTTCTCGGTCTTCCTAGGGGTCCCTCCTTGCCACAACTTGATTCGCCCCGAAATCCTGCTCAGAACGCACCCCGAGAGAGGTCCGGGGAGTAGCGGTATCGGTACCTTTTCGTATCCCCAAATACGGATTTTTTGGCCCGTCGACCGAAGGGAGTGACCGGCGGGGTTTTTTGGTGGCACCACAGGGGATGCGCGCATGCCCGCGACAGTTATCACATCGGGCCCATCACATAATAAGTCGGCCTGCCAGCAGCTGGCCCGCGGAAGTATCTTGTCCTCCGATGGCCCCAGGGGCTCACCGACGTTCTGGGGCGCTTGAGGAACCTAAGAGATCGACGAGGAATGTGCCCCAGACTTCCGTGCGGCAAGATTCCTCACGTGTGCTTCCATCGTGCAGCTCGGCGAGAACCTCCAAGCACTGCGCACGCTCCCTGACTCGCAGCACGTGGGCCGGGCTGCGTGGACCCCCGACCGAGCTGTCGGTGGGGCCTCGACCGCGGGCAACGGATCGTGAATTCATCTATCGATCTAGATCGGGACCCATCGATCGACGTTCCGATCGCCTTGGTGGTACTCGCTTCGGAGCGCGCAACGCATGGGTCGAACAAAATTACAGATGACATGTTACGTCGTGGGCAATGATATGTTCTCACGGTCACTTGAAGCGCACGATCACGAGTGAGCCCGTAGCCGTTATGGCGGCCCCAGCCGCAAGAGCAGGCATAACGCGCTGGCAGAAGGAGATTGATCAACCACGTCCAGACGGTTTGGTCGCTTGGCTGTACATTGATTGGCGCGTCGCGCATCCCCGCTTTCCCCTGCAGAAACGATGCCCGGGCGAGCTGCCTTGATCGTGAATTTCTAGGAGCAAGCAGTGGAGCAGAGAGGGGGGGCAGCCTTCAAATCGAGGCCCATGATCGACCTGCGCAGACCTAG